GCCCCCCCCCCCGTCTTAAGTTCCCCCCCTCTGCCCTAAGCCATTGTTGGGGTTACATGGAGGGGCACGTACTAGGAGGAGAAGATCATAAAGGGAGCCTGATGGAAGTATTATTGTGTAGATTGAAGTTAGTGGCTGGGGACTGCACTGCTGCTGCCTCAGTGAGAGAGATGAGCCAAGCACACCTAACTACTGCCCAAGGCAGCGGTTTTCAAAGTGTGGCAGGAGACTCAGAAGTGGGTCAGGATGGGGTTACATGGAGGGGCACGTACTAGGAGGAGAAGATCATAAAGGGAGCCTGATGGAAGTATTATTGTGTAGATTGAAGTTAGTGGCTGGGGACTGCACTGCTGCTGCCTCAGTGAGAGAGATGAGCCAAGCACACCTAACTACTGCCCAAGGCAGCGGTTTTCAAAGTGTGGCAGGAGACTCAGAAGTGGGTCAGGACCCTGTTTTAACACAGTTCACCATAGCTGGTTTTAGACTTGCTGGGGCCAGAGGCCAAAGACCAAGCCTCATTGCCTAGGGTCAGTGTTGAAGCCTGAGTCCCCCACTGTCTGGGGCCAAAAGCCCAAGGACTTCATCCCTTAGAGGTAGTGCTCACAACTCAGCCTCTCCTCCCCAAGTAAAGCCCTTGGTCTTGGTGTTTGGTTTAGATCCCTCTTCCCACTTATAACTACGGATGTAAAATCCCATTTAACAGGTTAAACATTACGTTTAACCAGTTAACCTCTTCAACAGAGGTGGGCAAGGGGCCGCTCCAGCTTGGCCATGATGAGGGCTAACCATAACCAGTAAGCATCACCGTTTAACCATTTGCACTCATATAAGGGATGTCAACAGGCAGTTGATTAGATGATTAACCAATAATCCTAGGTTTATCAATTAATGTCATCGACTACTCACATTCTCCCCCCCCCCCCAAGCTGTCTCTGTATCAGGAAGCAGGAGCAGGTTCTTGGGGGAACCATCTTAAAAGCTGGTTCCCCCAGCACTGGCTCTGCGGTGCCACCTTCCTCCCCCACACCTGCCGTACTGCTGCCTCTATGAGAGGTAGCAGCATGGGAAGGGGGTGAGGAGAGGCTGTTTTGCAGAAGCAGCCTCTACCCATGGCGGGCTCTGGCTATCTGTCCACAGCCCTCTATCTATGGGGAGCTCGGACCCCCCACAGACAGGCGCTACTGCGGGAATCGCCTCCTCCAGCAGCCTCCCCCGCTTCACTCCCAGCAGCCTCTGTCCACGGGGAATCGGACCCCCACAGACAGGAGCTGCTGCCAGCTTGTGCTTCTGCTTCTGTATGAGAGGTAGCAGTGTGGGGCAGCTGGCAGCCAGTACGTGAGGGGAGCTGGTTTTTAAACTGGCTCCTCTCATGGACCAGCTCTTGCCTGCCACCCATGCTGTTGTCCCTGATACAGAGGCAGCAGCACTGCGTGGCAGGTAGCTTTCCAGGAGCGGGGCCAGAGCACACTGGCTGCCAGACCTGCCACCAGTGACTATAGAATAGTCGACTAACCACTAAGAATTCATGCAGTTACTCGACTATTCTATTACCTGCTAATATCCCTAATCCCTACCCAGAACAGTGGAGCAAAAGCTTATGCTTTGCTCCCCCCCATACCCCGGGCATACCTAGGGTAGGCTCAAGCTTCAGTCTACCCTCCGGGCTTGTGTAGTAATTTTTGGAGTCAGAGAGGAATGACGTTTGTGAGCCCCTGGCCTAGCGCAGTGTTTCCCAAACCATTGGTTCTAACCCACCAGTGGGTTGCAGAAGACTTTAGGCAGGAGGTACAGTGAGGAGGAGAGAACCTGGGAGGGGATGAGGGTTGAACACTAAGCCTTCCCTGCATGAACCCCAAAGCAGTGATTCCAGTCCTGAGGGCTGGGTTCTACTCCCATTCCATTTACTGTGACTTGAAGCATTGGGGTACACTTCTACTCCTCTGTGATGACAGAGGCAGATGGGCCCCCTTGAGTGAGTGCTGCTATGGGATGAACTCATTCCCCCCTAGCTGCACATACAGGGGCCACCCCTCTATGCAGGACTAGGTTTGAGTTGCAGTGGTAGAGCACAAGGTGGTGTTGTGGGTGGTGAATGATCCTCATCTGGGTGAGGAGCAAAAGGAGGCAAAGAATGCTGATCTGTGATTTTTGGACCACCATCATGAATTCGGACCCTGACTGGGTCACAATAAGGGATAAAATGTAGTTGGGAGATCGGCTAAGTAAAAGGTTGGAAACCAGCAGGATAGGAAACAGTCATGGGGCTGAATAGTCAACTTAAAGAGAAATCAGCAATTTACAGGCTCAGGTTCTGGGGATTCTAAAGTTTGGAATATGGCATATACATGTTTTATTTTGAAATTATATTGTTGGAGGTTTGAATGTTTAGTGCACTGTTATACTCGTTTTCCAGAAACTGTTGATGGAGAAGATAATTCCAGATGAGTGTGGATACTTGTTCCTACTGTGTTACAGTAACCCTTAGATTACACTGCAAATTGCTGCAACTTGCTAGCAGCTGACAGTGAAATATGTTGAAACCCAGACAGTGAGAGGTGGGGATGGTGGTCCAGGAGGTTTATTTTATAAATTGATCTATAGAATGAAAAAGATTAAGCTAAAAATACTGCTTACGGGACCAGTGCCAGGATTTTGCACTAACAGTGCAAGCAAAGAAGCTGATCTAAGTAGTGTGGGGGTAAATCACCAGGAGACCGAAGGCCAGTATAGCAGTTCCAATCCCATTGCCTCTTTCCTAGTTTTCAGCATAAGGAGTATGTCTAGACTACATGGCTTTGTCGACGGAGCCATGTAAACTAGTTTACCCAACATAGTCAATGAAGTGGGGATCTAAATAATCCCTGCTTCATTAAAATAAAAATGGCCACTGTGCTGTGCCGACAATCAGCTGATCCGGCACAGCGTGGCAGTCTAGCCGCGGATCGGTAGACTACATGGCTTTGTCGACGGAGCCATGTAAACTAGTTTACCCAACATAGTCAATGAAGTGGGGATCTAAATAATCCCTGCTTCATTAAAATAAAAATGGCCACTGTGCTGTGCCGACAATCAGCTGATCCGGCACAGCGTGGCAGTCTAGACACGGATCGGTCGACAAGGGAAGCCTTTGTCAACCGCTCCTGTAAACCTTGTTTCACAAGGCATAAGGGAACGGTTGACAAAGGCTTCCCTTGTCAACCGATCCGCGTCTAGACTGCCGTGCTGTGCTGGATCAGCTGATTGTCGGCACAGCATGGCGGCCATTTTTATTTTAATGAAATGGGGATTATTTAAACTGGCCAATCCTTGGCAGTTCTCTATAGTTCCTCAGAACCACACCAGCAGTTTCCTGTGATGAAGCAATACCATCCTGTAATTGCTCAATTTAGGTAGCTGTGCATCTTGAATTTATTATCAGAAACATGCCTGTAGAATAAGTGCAGTCTGCTGTAGGTCAACCATGTCCATTAGCCTTCCATTTTACAATCCAGATGTTAGAATTATGATTTTCAGATGACATTCCAACTTGAAATGGGAAATAAATAAG